TTTGTGTTCTAAGTCCTTTTCTTATCGGATTCTACTGTGTACGCAAAATACATACACATTGCTCGCTATCACATGGAGCACTAAATAGCTTTACGCAGTCATTTTAAAGCAATCTACAATATACGAATACGAATGGAGTGTCAACAATGCCATCTAGCGAATTTATTTCAAAATGCCAAAGCTTCTCGGAGTAGAATCGCATGGTATTAATTTCGAAAATGAAGTGGATTTCATTTGCTATTTTCAATAAAAAAATTAATCAACAAAATTTAGTATTATTTCATTGTTGATTTTTTCCTTTAGATTGATCAACCGTTTTGTCTAGATGTTTGCAACGGTTCATCATATACTCATTTAAAAACAGTCGAAAATTACGAGAAAAAAATTGACAACAACTTCATGTATGACCGATGTTCTGACAGATCATGGTTTCGTTTATTGCTGAAATTTAATGGGTGCTGCTACGAAATTCTACAATTACGAAAAATTCGGGAGATAATTTATTGAAATGTAGTCCGTTCACTACAACTCCGTTGGTGCAGACACAAGAAGGTTTGATTTTATTTGTGTTCTTTCAATAATCCAATTCTTGAATTCTCTCTCTCTCGCATTTTTAGAATTCAATTATGTTAAACTGTTGGGTACAATTGTATCCCCCTAATCTTTACATTACAGCAGCGGTAAAAAAGAGAACGAAACGATCAAATGTTTTCATTGGTTTTTCGCGTAAATTTCACTCACTCATTCACATATTCACACTTTGTGCGTGAGATAGAGAGGCTGATATAATTTTACGATAATTCTCTGTAAAAAAAAACTGACACACGGCATCTATTATCAACTCTATATAGTAGCAGCAATTATAAGATTACGCCATAGTAGTTGTTATTGTTTAATAAAATATACGGTTTAACTTTGTATTCAAATAGATGTCAAACTGAAATGTCAAACTGAATTGTTTTGCGCGTAAATAATGTTTGACAGCTATCGGAATATAACGTTCCGTCAATATTGTTTGATCCTTAGCTCCAACACAAATCATCCAAAAAGAGTTTATTTTTATCGCTGAGATATAGAAGAGAAAAAAATGTTAACAACAATATTACGCCGAATTCCACAAGTTGCTTCAATTCAACGGTTAGAGAATTTATAAATTTGAACATTGCAATTGGAGTGAGAGGTAGAAATAGAAATAAAAAAGAATGTGATTCAATCAATTTTTTGACATTTTATTGTAATATTTTAGAGTTGCTGTTTCTGTTGCTGGCTATTCCCGAAAAAACTACAATCGATCAGTTGATAATAACAAAAATTGTAAATACACAAAACCAAACAGTGTCGACAATTATATGACGAATTCTGTGAATGTAAGTTATTGAAGTACACTACTCACACTGAATGTAATGTCTTGAGGAAAAAGATTTAGAATGGTCTTTTTTTTTTTCTGTAAACGAGATAAACCAACTTTTCATTTTTTACACGATTATTTTAGAGTTCGTTGTCAAGTGGGAGAAACGATGGACCGATTTTGTATCATGATGAAGCGTTGTCAGCCGCTCAGCATGACATGGTTTTAACAGACATAAATCATAAAAAACTCGCTGATGTAAGTCAGTTTTTTCTCTGCGTTTTTCGTTTTTGTAATATTTTTGTTTTTAGATTGGCAATCATCACGGAATGCCAAATTTGAGCGAAGGGGGGTTTAGTGCGTCACCGTTTCCGGTTGATGGTATAATTTACGGTAAAAATAATCGGTTGATGATCTGCCTAAACTGTCAGCATGCCGAAAAGCCGACTGCACCGATTGTCAACGTCTGGTTTCTCGTTGACACTGGTTCCAATTGCACTTTTCTCTGCGAAGATACAGTATATGAGATGTATGGGCCCAAATGTAATGCTATCAGTTATTTTGTTGCAATACAGGTATATGTTGTTGCATGTCTTGCTTTCTTTAGATTATTAGTTAAATTTCTAGCTGTTATTTTATATTCTCAGGATTCGAAGTCTAAAATCTTATGCGACATTTCGCACAGTCACTTCGCAGACGTGAACGTTTTGGGTATGGAAGCTATGCTTAAACTGAAAGTATCGATCGAAAGTATGAACGCCGAACGAGAATACTTCCGACTCGCCAGAATTTCTACAACCAAATGAGGATTGCTATGGAGAAAAGTCTGCATGTCTTTCTCTTATTATTCGAAAATATAAACGGCAAATTTGTCTGTTTTGTTTTTCTTTTTCGTATTGTAACACATTCGATTAAAACATTATTGCTTCAAAAATGAGAAATGAATGATATAGCGTTTGAAATGAAGTACATACACTTTAAAATTGCACTTTTTTCATTTGAATTGATTTCTGAATTTTTATTTGCAAGAATGTATCTCTAGTACAAAGAATGTGCGCATCGCATTTTAACTGACTCATTTTCCAGCACTTAAACTATTATTATTAAGCATGGACACGAACGGCAGTAATCTTATTCAGAAAAAAAGAAACAGAAATCACCAACCATAATAACAATAGAGAAATAACAACCACAAAGTAATAGGCAAAGCAATTGTATCAATAGAATAAGAAACGAATCAATTTATATTGTGTAAATTTCGTCGTGATCGTCGTCGAATTTTGTATTAGTCGGTGTATCTAATTCACAAACTGCTGATTCAAACGACCCGGATGGCTCAACTTCCTCAGCAGCAGCAGCATGCGACGGCATTCCGAAACAATTTTCTCTCACTGAAAAAGCAAAACAACACTGCAAGAAAAAATATGCACAAATTTTTCTTATTTCATACTCACAAATTGCACTGAAGAAAAAGTGAAGCTAGCTGAATAAAATACTTTCAACGAATGATCGAACGAAATCACGATTGCTTCGTTTGAAAGGTGAACATTTTTTGATTGAAATTCCATAGCCATAGATTTATATTTCACATGACTACTGTGGAGAAATGATTAACAACTGTTTCGTTTGAATGTTAAACATTAACTGGTTTTTAATTTTCTTTCTTACTATCTACGCAGTTTTCGTATAAGTTTGTGAGTTGATGAATTTATTGGACTTTACTTGATTTTGCTAATATTGCAATTAACTGAAAAATATGTTTGCTGATACCTTGCATTAAATGTTATTGAACTTTCTATATCTAACTGAAATTACTTTGTGTTGCACATTTTTCGAAGTTGTACTTTGAACGTTACTGAGCGTGAGCGAGAGAGAGGTGTGTGTGTGTGTATGTACATACTAGTAGTATGTAAATGCCGGTTTCATCCACGTTTTTCAGTATTAGTGCACACACAGACACACACACACAGAGACACACACACATGGTGTTAATTTATTTAATTGATGTATGAGTGAGTGTATTGATTGACAATATGAAAAACATTGACTGACATGATAATTTTTTGAAATGATTTTTTCATGATAATCAAAACTAAATCAATCCGATCGAATACTTAGATCAAAAAACAACACATAAAACTGAATTTTGAAATCGTTATTTTCTTTTTATTTTTTTTAAATAAAACTATGAAAATAAGGAACAGAGTTTTTTTTTAAATTCAAGTTTGAATGCAAAAGTTTGTGAATGATAATAAGATGCGAGTGAAAAACAAATATACAGTGCATTTTCTCTCTTTCACACACACATACACATACATTCATTCATTCATTTAATTAATTTTATCACATTGCTATCAATACAGCTCATGTAAATCGATTTATCTATTTTTTTTTATATTCAGTTTGCAATTTGTATCACAATTCTTTTTTCTGTTCTTTTGATACACATGTGTGTATGTGTGTAAGTGATAAACACTTATGGCACATTTGAGGCTCAATTTCATAAAATAGTTCGACTGAAGGATCGATTTCATGAAAATAGTTCGATTTGAGGTTCAATTTTAAGAAAAAATGGTTCGATTTGAGAAAAAAAGGTTCAATTTCAAGGAAATAGTTCGATTTTAGTTCGATTTGAGGTTCAATTACATTTAAATAACAAACATCTTGTGATACAAGTTAGTTCAAGTTGAACATCCAAACAGAGAAGTTATCTTTATTGCCACATCATGCGGTTGAACACAATCCAAAAGGCTGAAATTTTAGCTAAATTGAATGATGGAGTGAAAGGTAATCGTCTAGCAAAAGAATATGACGTTGCTAAATCAACAATTTCATTATTAAAAAAGCGCAAATATAATGAAATGCAACAACCAGACGAAAGAAGTGGAACTTTTAATACACTATCAAGTGTGAACGAAGGTGAAAATAAATCAATTCACTCAAAGAACGTATCTACATCCAGTGAGGATGAGACTTCTGATGAATCCAATGATGATGAGAGATTTGAGAAGAAATCACGCACACTACCAATGTTCCATCAACTCAAACTCTCTAAGCAACCGTTTGACATAGATGAGGAACAGCATATTGACGATGATGCAGCTAGCGAGTATGATGATGATGAGGAGGAGGAGGAAGATGAGAGCGAAGAAGAAGAAGAAGATCTTAATGAAATATGTAGAAAATTGCATAATGTATGCAGCAACTTGCATGTTCCTGCTCAATTATTGCGTGTAATGTTTAGATTATTTTCCAAACTACGGAGCAGTGGTTGCATTGAGTAATCTGTAATTTTTAAAATGTAATCACTCTGATGACGAAGATAGTTCGATTTAGGGGAAAAGTTCGATTTAAGGTTCGACTTTATGTAAAAAGCGCTCGATTTCATGAAAAAAGTTCGATTTTTGTGTTTGAATATGATCAATGCGAAGAGCAAAAAAATCAGAGTGAAAAACGTTTAAATATAGAATAAAATTTAAAAAAATTCAGTTTTCTAGCTGCATTCATTCAAACAACCACAAAAAAGCAGATCTGCTTCTCGAGAACAACAAAAAAAATTTCACAATGGCGCATCCTCATCCGCTAAATGATGGTTCACATACATACATTAGGTTGAGAGATTTGGAAATCGGCAAAAAATACCCAGTTTGCGGTTTTGGCGTGTTTAGAGGCAATGTTGCTAAAATTGAACGAGTGTGCCCAACAGTTAAAATCGGTGACGAGTATTTGATTCTGTGTAAGCGTTATCTGGAAATTGTTGATAATCTCAAATTAGAGACAACGCCTCTTTATGTTGTTTATTTCGGCCCGGGAAAAAGAAGCCGTCCTGAATTTCACTTTTACGATTATTTATGGAATTTAATTGTCTAAAAAATATTGTATAAATATAAAAAATGTTGAAAACAACAAACAATCAAGTTTCAACTGTATTACAATATATTAATGAAATGAAATTATGAATAATAAAAAATTCTTCTTTCGGTTGTACCGTTGAAAAAAAAACAGTTGTTTCATTTTATTTTTTATTTTTCCATACATTTCAGAATATTTAATAATAATTAATATAATATATAAATCATATAGGTTCGATTTGAAACCATTTTACCTTTGAATTATACAGAATATATCATAATTTTACTAGAATGTTACATTTTTATGAAAAATCAATGAAAAACTGTCTCATTTTTGTATCTTATTTACTATTTTTGCTTAAAGTTTTATGAAAATTTACGTTTCATCTAACAATATTTTTTCTCAATTTCACTAATTTCATGATGACCCCAAGCCAGCGTATCAATACCATTCGAACGAATGAGGTAACGCTTATCATCAAACGGATTTAAAGCAATTCTTTTCTGTTTAATTGTGAATATTCGATGTAATTTTGAGCGAAGGTCATACTGTTCACGTAAAATATTACAATTTTTCTCAATACAGTCAACATAATCACTAAATGCAATTTTACGTTTCACTACGTTTTTTTTTATACCTTTAGACTTTTTAATAACCTTAGATTTTTTATCGATGATACAATTCTTCTCGATGCAGTCAACATAGTCGCTATCTGTTATAACGCGAGGTGGTACAGCTCTTTCTGGACATTCACATATTTCCATTTTAGCTTTGAACGGTAGTACAGCATAGCATTTTGCACGTAGACCGACAAATTCTACCAAAATATCCCCGTTTAATTCATCTTTGAAAATACCGGGCACTTTTTTATTAACTCTTGGCATATCGCAAACATTATCCTTTAGATTTTTATCTATCCATTTCGCGGGTTCGTTGTGATAGTCGCTTGTGTCAAACCGTTCAATGTTCGCCTTCATATCAGCATAAAAATCATCCGTTTTAACAGATAAAACAAATGAATCGGTGTCCGTATAGGCAACCGTACAATTTTTTCCATATTTAGGTTTTAAAAAGTCGTACAGAAAACTGTACATCGTTATTTTCGATATGTCTAAGATGGACATACCGATAATTATTGGTTTATTCATTTTAATATGTGTTTTTGTAACTCAATTACTGCTAAATCTTCATCGAGAATTTTGCATTTCTTGAAATTTGGTCGAGAAATTAACATGCCTGCACCACTTCGCCCACCCCACTTGTTGACAAGTTTGATATCTGCACGTAAACGCAGATTCTCCGTCGTTTTACCAAAGACGAAGTTTATCATATATTTAAAAAACGACTTTTCAAAGTCGTTGGTAGCTTGCGTACGTAGCTGTGTGTTAATATCGATGTAGGGCTTGAGCCAGCAACTTTGTTCGAATTGAAGTACTCGATGTACTTTTTTTAATACTAGACCGTGTTGTAATGCTAATTTTAGCATGCGATAATGAATGATATAATTTTCTTTATCGTATAGCGTTAACAATAATTTTTCGATTTTATTCGGTTTTATACCGATAATATCGAACACTTCTTGCGGAAGCGTTCGCTTTTCAGCACAAAATGGAAAATCATTATGTGTAGCATGTAATAAATAATGTATAAATTTTTTGGATATTGCAGATCCACCTCGAATATATAGCCGTATGTTGAATCGTCAGCTAATTTAGCTATTTCATCTGCATCTGAAAAAGATGTCTTCACAATGTTGTCTTCAATCCATTTGAAATCTCTCAGCGGTAATGGTTGCGACATTGCATGTCCATACAGGTTATTTGCTATTAATGTGAATGAAATAAAACGAAATTACATTCTAGAATATCATCAAATTGATTGTGCATGATTGAATAAAATATTATTTACCATCTAAATACATTAAATAATTTCATGGTTTTTCATCATTGTATACATCTCCCATGTATTTATTGTTGGCTTTGACTTGACGTTTACTGCACTGACTTATGCCACCGCGAATTCCACGTTCGATGAACAGCAACATTTCCACATCAGATTTCAGTTCAATTCGCACTCCGGTATATTTGAGCATGGCATCCCACGAAAGACCTGGAGCTGTATAGTAGTTTGCCGGATCCAAATTGTAAATTGTATGGCATGTATTTCGAAAATTTTCAAATACGTCGGCCAATAGTAGCACATCTGTCTTTAGATACAGTTCAGAATAGTCTCCGAGCGTTTTACAATTGAATTTCCGCCAGATATCATGAGCAAATTGGTAATCGTCATCCGATATTCCTTCTCCACTAAGTTTGCTGTAAAACTCTGCTTTTAATGGTAGATTTGTTTCCTTCAGCTGCTCCATACCGCTCACATATTCATAAGGGAAAACGCCTTTACGTTCAAGCATAGCGATTTGTGCTGGTGTGTAGCCATTTTTTTCACATTCGTTATACAATATATTGTATATATTTGTTTTTATTTATTATTATTATTTATTTATTTATTATTATTATTTATTTATTTATTATTTATTTATTTATATATATATATTTGTTTTTTATCTGCCGGTAATAGTGATGCTAATTCAGCTAGAGATGTAGGCATGAATCGATATGAATCAATAAATTAAAATTTTACATTTTCTCTCGTATTGAGCCCGCGTGTACTCCCTGTTACTACTTTCGTGAATGCAATGTATTGTTCCGCATTAGCTGGAATAATTGAAACATCTCCATTTATAATATTATTTGCTGCCAACTCTCTTATGAATAAATGTGAGTCGTAACCCGACAAATTGTGCATAATAACGGGTACAACGTGGCTATCTTGGAACTGTAAGTTGCATGCTTGATGGGCTGGACCTCTATATCGGCCGGTGAGATGGCAGTGATCATGTACTCTAATATCATTTGCTTCAAAAATATCACCACAAATTGTACATAATGCATTTGGATCGTGAAATGAATATTTCTCATCTTCAGTTAACGGTAGCATTGGTGTGTTTTTATCAAATAACATTGCAACTCCATGAGCGATTTCCTTCAATTCTGTGATGAACCATTCGACACTATCAGTATGATTGCCGCTACTTCGGTAATATGAAAATGAATCGTCAAATTCACATTTAAAATAATATCCAACGCTGTACATATGATGCTGCTGATATGCAGTAGTTGCACACTCCTCACTAAATATACGATTCTGATCCTCCATACTGAGCCCCTTCAGATACGCTTCAGTATCAGCGTAAACAACAAATGGTGCTTTCAGCTGATGTTTATAGTTATCAAATTTCATCCATTTCCATGTTTGATCGGGCATTTCAATGCTACACTCGTTTGTACATTTTGCTGTATGTTTCATTAACCCTTTGATGCACAATTTTTTGTTTTTGAATCATTTTGATATATGTTTTGTGCCACGATAAATAGAGAAAAACCTCATACTTAGATTTTTGAAAAATTGCGTATTTGTCGAGAAAATCGGAAAAGAGTCAAAAGTGTCAAATCACTATAAAAGCTTGAAAAAATTAAATTTCATAGAACTAATGATGCAGAAAGTTAAATTGATGTGTTTTCGTTCTACGAGTCCTAATTTGACAATTGAAAAGAATGAACAAACCCACAAGATAAGAGGAGGAAAAATGTGGAATTCTGCTATAATTTCGCATTTTTTTTACAGCAGTACATGAACAGAAAAAACTTTCCATTCAGCCAGCCAATTGTAGCCTGCAAAGTATCAAATGAAAGCTAGTTCAATTCCTTACATTTGTTTCCAAACAAGAATGTAAAAATATTCAGTGGTTTCATAGCTATAGCGTCTGGCGTATCTGGTTACTTTAGGAACCGAAATGTGATAAAGGGTTAATTTTTCATTTGTATCATAAAATATTAGACAGCGATCGCAAATGTAATTTCGAGATTTATGTTTACTCAGCTGACTTCTGACTAAACGGCTTAAATTTTTTATCCAACAATAATGAGTACGAATTGAATTATTATCGCAGATCTCCTTAATCATGTTGGAAGTGCTAGCTGTTTTAACATTTCTTTCCTTAGTTTCATTAACACTTTCTCCGTTTTTGATTAGCAGCAAATGGATGTGATGCTGCTTAACTTCATTACTCACACGTAATGGACATATATGACCCTCATTGTCATCATCATAATAATATACATTTATCGATATAGTGTCATTTTGTCGAACAAATTTGTCGATTTGGTTCAAACGGACGGGAAAATCGATTCCATCAAAATTCAATTCGTTCTCATATTGATAATAATGACGAACTCGCTCTGGATGATCAGTTACCGGATGTATAGCAGATAGAATAGCCCATTTGAAGCACATTTCGTCAAGTTGATTTTGTACGTTGATAACTGCATGTTTATATCGTAACTTTTTAGGAGTTTCAATATACGATGAACCTTGTAATGGGTTGTATAAGTTAACGTGAACATTCAATTCGATTATGCGGGCGGAACCGCGGAATGTAACTTGTTCTACACTTTCCACTATTTTTTGAACGATTTCTTTTCGAAAATGTTTGTGTAGGTTTACGTTTAAATCAAGTTTGCGTGTTGGCGTTTGGAGATATATAGTCTCTTTCACCGTTAACTCATGACTATGATTACCGCCAGTATCATTGTAAGAATCATTATTTTCATCTGTGTTTACAATTTTTTTTTCAAACTCTGCTACGAATACAGTCATTGACTTCACATTAATAAAATTTTCAATATTTTTCGTAAGTTCCGAGCGATATATATGAAAGGCATCGCTTAGAAATATTTCAATATCAATATGGCCATTGTTTACAATAGCGAAGGTGTTTATCCGTCTATTAAATGCATTTTCACGCACTTGTAGCTCAACACTAGGGACATCTTCAATTGTATTAGAGGACGGTGACATCATTGTTAATCACATCGATATTAACGTTTTTCACGGGCGTAATTCCATTTTGGTATATCAATATGAACCGTTCCTTTCGGAACTCACCGAACAAAAATTACAATTCGATTGATCTAGTTGTATCACCAGATGTTTGACATTTAATTATAATCGAACCTCAAATCGAGCGTATTTTCAGGAAATCGAACCTCAAATCGAACTATTTTCATAAAATCGAACCTCAAATCGAACTATTTTTCATGAAATTGAACCTAAAATCGAATTATTTTCATGAAATCGAACTATTTGCATTAAATTGAAGATCAAATCGAACATTCTTACATAAAATAATACGAATTATTGATGAAAATAAAAATGTAAACAGACGCAATGGTAGCAAAAAAGCACATTGTAAAATGCAACAACGATAACATGAACAAACGTTCACTATCGCGACAGCAACGTATGCGTTCAATGAACTCGTTCAAGGTTAAAAACTTCAATCGAAGAAACAAGTATATGCATGTGAGAGAGAGTGAGAGAAAGAAACTAGAAGAAACAAATGTATGTGTATGTGTGTGTAGCGTAAACTATAGCAATGGTATATGATTATTTGCATCGCTTCAGTTGTTGTTGTTGTTGTTCATAATTAATATATTGTTATGCATTTAGATGGATTTGAGTGCAGTGTGAATGATTGTTATAAGATTAAAAGAGAAAATGTGTGTGAAATATATGTAAATTTATGCTTTAAAACTTGAATTTCAATGCGAAAAAATTGAAATTGTAGATTTTGTTTGTTGAGCATTGAAGTTCAATATATTGACCACAATATATACTGAAATTTCATCAAAATCGGTCAACTATTATTATTACAATACAAAATGGTCCGTCAAACAAAACGCTCACAAAAATCAAATAAATTTATGAAAAAAAAACGTATTTTCCTAAATGCATAAATTATGACATA